TTTAATCCTTAAATGATACGAAGTCAAATACTATTTTCAGTAGCAGATTATTCTTTTTTATCTAGACAGAAACTTTAAGAGAAATATTATTTTCTTAATTCTTAAAATTACCTAAATAAATAAAGGAACACTATGAGTTAACGCATTAGGATTGTCTCTGTCGAGTTACGATTATTCGTCATCATATTATTTAAGGATTAAAAAGATCTTTTGCTCTCCTTCTCACGTGCAACAAATTTTACAGCTATATATTTGAATCTTTTTTTTGCGTTTAACAATAAAATTTAATAAGTAGATGGCTATAAAATTAGCCACAATTATATAAAAGACACAATAATATCATCGAAGAAGACTTTTAAAGCTTTTTTCTGGCTTAATTATTCTACAGGAGTTAAAAAGAAGTATTTATTCGACGTAATGTGGATACAACATTACTCCGTGTTTGTTTTATTGACTCCTGATCACTCTTTTTGTTAAAAATATCATTTACTCGTTAATAAATTCCGGTAAAAACTCGAGTAAATAATTACTGCAATATTTACGAAATCATAAGGATCGAGAATTCGAATTTTTGTGTGTGTGTTCAATCTGGCGATTTTAACTATCGTTCTGTGGAATCAAAATCTCTTTAACATTTTACAAATTTATTGGTATCATTTTGTACGGGAAATACTGCGATAATTCAAACGAATAAATAATTATAATCTACAAATCAATAAATAAGATTCTATATCATAATAAATTATTTGAATAAATTTATTTAGATAGAGCACCAGATTCAACACAGCACACAAACATGCGTATCCTAGTGTTGTAAAATTGCATTATTAACTGAAGCGGTAACGTTAACAAACATCTTCGGGGATATAGTCGTGGATGTTTCCATCACACCAGTAGTTAATGTACTAACGGTAGTATTATTAGACATCAAAGTGGATGTTAAAACAGTTGACAAGACAGTTACAGTAGTTTTTACCTTTGGTGTAACGTTCTCTAACGTGGGTAATGCGGAAGACATAATAGTTGTTAAAATGCTTGGTGTTGTATTATTAAGTGGCATTACTGATGGATTTAATGCATTAAAGCATACATCTTTCGACTGGACTGGTAGCTCGAAACGAGTATCCAGTATGTATGCGAATAACGAGCCTACTGTCAAACCTGTAGTATACGACAAAGTCATAATATTCCCTAAAAAGATACAGTAACGTTATAAGAAATGAGAAATGAAATCGTAAATGAAAATTTAAATATACATATAGTATATAATACCTGCTAATTCACGATGTCCCTCCGGTACTTTGGTAGGTGCCTGCATCATTGGTACCGATCCAACGATACCATTTGTCACGCCAAGCAAGCAAGAAAGTAGCAATGGATATCCCTCTCCAGAAAATATTGGAGTACTTCTAGGTAATGCACAAAGTAGAAATAAAGGAATCAATATAACTCGAACACTCGCAAATGATAGTAACTGGGTACGTTTCCAATCATAAGGAATCAAAGCAAGTATCTGAAATATTAAATAACAAGATATCCATATCCCAAATTTTTAAACTGTTAAATTTTAGGTGAATGTATATTCAGCGAATATATATTCGAGACATTAAAATTCTTTATACCTTGCCCAATACATCAGAAGCATTAAACGCTGTCATCAAAATTACCGGCATCCATGATCCAAGCTCACAAGAAATAATTTCTGACATAATTCCAGGGTACAAACAAAGTGTTACAAAGTATGCTAGACCAATACTAGCCATATATGGGCATATTATCTTTGCTACTTCGAGTCTTGCAAGAAAACCCTCTTAAAAAATATCATATATGTTAGTTTTTCGTAAAGAAAAATTAATTTTATGGTATAATAAAAATGTAGAATTAAAGAATATGGTACTTTTGATTTCAGACCACGGTTTACTAGTTTGAGTTCCATACGTTCCCCTCATAACAACTACATCTTCAACTTTGTATGTAGGACCAGCGCTACCAGGAGGATTTCCTGATGGCGCGCCAGGTTCATATACTGGGTTACTGAATGAGAATGGCGAATACTGATTTGATCCTAAAAATAAAAACTATTGACTTATTACCACAAATAAATGTTATTCGACGCACTAGAAATAAATTGTAATTTTTACCATTTAGCTCGGTGTTTCCACTTGCAGATTCATTTCCTAAAGGACTAGTCTGAATCTTTAGAACCCCATACTGACCTTTCGAAGGGTCCCCGACCTGATCCAATGGATCCATCTATTCACAAAAAACATTTAATATTATTTAATTAAAATTGTTGGTTAATAATAATTGATACGTACCAAACCAACATCTTCCGTCGGTTCTAATGTAATTCGATTTCTTTCTTGACATAATGTTATATAAAACTGCACGAAATCAGTCTTGCGAACTTTTTGGTTTAGTAAGAAGCACATTAGAATCGTGCTATTCGATAAAACGAAAAACATGGATGTGTTGCTACGTTCATCGTCAAGCAAAGACTTTGTTAATATTCGATTGATTGATACCCAAAGGCCAGCAATGCCTACAAGAAAATACATGTTTTTTTTAAATATTTCGTCAATTAGGTACTTTAAATAAAACAATTATTTAAGTGTTTATTTCTCACTTTCTCCAATCATCACCGCCTGCGTGTATCGACTGGGAAGCATGGAAGTGTATCCGTAAAAGCTCGATTGTTGAACTAATTAAAAAATAGCAATTTTAATATAAAATGTGAATTTTCATGGGATTCATGACACAAAGCATTCTTTACCGGTACAGCCCAGCGATACTATTGCAACGACGACTAAATTAATCGTGTAAGAAGTAGCCACGTTAAAAGGCTCCCACCAGATCTCGGAAATCACAACAAAATTTAAGGTGACGAAGGCTACCAGATATCCTACAATTCATATTAGTGTATTAAATAATACTATTTTCATACAAAATGTTTTTTTCATGCTTTTAATACAAAAATGTTAATTGTTAAATGTTAACTGACTGCTAATTCTTACCAAATGTTATCCGTGTGTTTAGGGACAATGTTTCGATCAAAATATTATTTGCAAAAACCGCGAAAAAGGCCATGATAATGTAGACAACTGACATATCGAATATTACAGTAGTTCCGGGATACCTCGCTTGAAAAAAGTCCACCGCTATGATGAAACTGTAAGAAACAGAAACATCGACGTTACGTTCCATGAATAATAAACTCACCTAATTAATATTTTTTTATTAGGAATATCTTTTACTAACAGTCTACTACTAAGTATAGCCATGCAATATTCTCATATGACCATCCCTGAGATCATTGATCGATTTTCAACAAGCATTTACGATCTAGAATCACTATTAAAAGTACAGTGGATCTTTATGCAATATTCCGCGTTATACGAATTGTTCTTTGATATCAGCTATACCAGTTCGAGGATAAGAGATAAATTTTTACATCCTTTATAACCATTAGCTTCCCTATATATAAATACGGTGGCTACAAAAAGTATTTGCATAACATTGTATTTATCATAGCATTTATAAATAAATTAAACAGATCCAAGTACATTACATTTCGTATCATTTAGTAGCATGTTTACATGATTACACAAATTTGATGCTATGGAAATGAAGTACATAAAATCTGTTAAAGAAAAATTCTTCATTGCAAAAAAAGAAGGTTCAAATATTTTTTCTAGCCGCTATATACAGCTTATCGCGCTTCACGAGTATTGTCACGATCTTCTCATCGCGTTATACGAATCAGCGTTATGCAAGTCCACTGTATATCAAAACATAAGGTATACATGGTTTTGGTGTTCGACATAAGCATGCACAAGCGTATACCGCAAGTTCGATTTTACTTTCAAGAAAAGATTGTAAATTAAAGATACAGAGGTCTTTGACACTCGATTGCCGACACACGGAAGAATATAGTGTCTGATTGCGGCGTGACCTGTTGTACGGCAAGAGGAATCCTATGCCGCCAAGTATAAGGGCGAAGTAGATGAAGTTGCATTTGTCAACAGGCGGTGACAGATGAGTGAATCCATTGGAAAATTTGAATTCGTTCATGCCCCTCGCCTTCCCTAACTGCACGTAGCCCCGGCTCAAATTTTCATCCATGTCTGCCGTGATCGACGCGTATTAAGAATGAGAAAAACAGTAATCAATTAGCCGTTGAACTGTTTTATGATTTCATTGTTTTCAGAAGAATTTCAACTGGGCGGCTTTTACTAAAAAAGAACCGTCTGATTCCACTACACCATGCACTTCCTGCCAATCGGTTAATTGCACCTGATCACTGCCTTATTTATTTCTTTACGCGTAGTACAGACGTGATTGTCTTCGTGCACTGGCGCATGCTTTGAAAATTTGCGGCATTGATTTCTGCGTGCGCACTTGCGTCTCTAACCCCCGTGTTACCGCGAATTTTAAATATAGGAATTTAAACTTTTTTCGTTTCAACATTTTGGGCTAAATCATGACGATGTTTCAACTCGGGAAGCACTATTGATGTTCTCATATAAATCTTTGGAGAATTTCCAGCCATCGACCTTGTAAATTCGCATATAAAATAATTATTTGGTATTAAGCATTTAGTTCCACGAATGCTTTTGAGTCTGAGTAGATATGCTACAAAATATCGATTTAAATAAGGCAAGAATCGTTTCAGAACACAAGTATCGAGAGATATGGTTCCCCTTATTTTTCATATTAGTTTCTAGAGTAAACATAAATTGTAAATGAAGTATATCCTCGAGAAATATATACGAAAATGTATACGCGTTTCAATTCTGCTTTAGCGCTAAGGTATTGCATCAGTTTGTTATAATCATATTTTAGTATAGGTTTGCATATATATATATATGTAATACTTTATGCATGTTTAAATTTTTATCAGTTAGTAAAGTATTTTGAACAATATCATCAAAAATATTTTAATTGAGAAAGATGATTACGCATTTATGTGAAATATAAGTTCACCATATACGTATTGTGCACATATATATATCGTTAGATATATTGTATTGAGATAAGTGCGCGTGCGCACTGCGCCATACTTATCACTTATGAATCAGCTGATGAAGGAAGATTGTTGCTGGAAATTTCAACAGTATTGGAGAAAACGTTAAAAAAATATGTCGTTAAATACAGCGCACGCTAACGGGGGCGTTCTAATACACGCCGGAGAATGGTAAGTTATAAAATATGTTAGCAACTTTTGATAATGTGATCGTTGTTTCACATGTTCTTGCTTATGACGTTTTTACAACGTAGTTATCGTCGTGGCCTTCCGAATGTAACTTCCTTTTTATCAATAATCGTTTCTCTGAATAATGATTACTACATCAAAGATATATCAAATATTTGCAGTAAAATTGTTAGAATTAATACAAATCATCGTCATTTCAGTTCTTTCTATATTATACTAAGTACGATATAAACAAATAAAATCTTTATTTATTTAGCATATTATTATTTTGTGACAATGTCACAATGGAATTCCATGGACCAGAACAAGTGGAATTTGCTGGTACCAAATATGGTAGATTATACCTGACCACCCATCGAATGATTTTTAATGCCAAAGATCTCAAAGAAAGGATGCAGTCATTTAGTTTTCCTTTTATAACACTATGTGATGTTGAAATAGAACAGCCAATATTTGGTGCTAATTACATCAAAGGTAAATGCCGTGCCCAACCAAATGGCAATTGGATTGGAGAATGCAAGTTCAAGTTGCATTTCAAAAGTGGTGGTGCAATAGAATTTGGTCAAGCTATGTTAAGAGCAGCAGCAATGGGTAAGTTCGTTATAATTAGTTATCTTAACAGATATAAACTTTAATAATTCTCTCTTATTGTCTGTCTATGAACATTACGATGCCTCGTATATAACTGTTTTTACCTATTTGTAGCTCAGCGTAATGGACCTGCAAATGATGCTCCACCACCATACCAACCACCAACATCAAATTGGTACGCAGCTCCACCACCTGCTTACCAAGCAACACAGACTGGCTATTATGGGTGGCTTCCACAAAATGATGCATTTTCACATACTCCACCAGGTTAAACATCTATTTTTCTCTAAGATTTTTTCAATGTAATAAAAACCTTATTAGTTTTCTTACAATTAGCACAATTTTAATGTTTTATACACACATAAGGAATGTAAATTTATATTGTATAGCAAACAGTGTATATATGACGGATATGCCACCACCATATCCTGGTATAAATACACCTTATCAAGGATATGCAAATGTACCGCCACAAGGTGCATGGGGCACTTCCAGTCAACAACCTAATTGGACACCACCTCAACAAAATGGAGCACCTGGGTGGGCTAATCCAAGTTATAATGCCCAACCAATGTCCCAAGCAGGTGCGTATCCAAACTATGGACAGCCAGCATATAACAGTTATCCACAAAATCCTCCACCATATACTCCATATTCTCAAGGTAATAATTATACACAGTCTGGCTATTACCCACAACAAAATCCTTACAATCCATACCCATCTAATTACTAATTATTAAACATATGAGGCTACATGTTTTGTGTATGCATGTTTGTATCATACTTTATCTGAATAATGGCCAAATTTTCAAAAGTCTTTAAAATAAATTATAATAAATGAAAGATAAAAAAATATTAAAGTTAGTATATTAAAAGTGCAAAGAAGGAACATATGAATAAACTTGTATCTTATACTATTCTTTATGACATGAGGATCATATGATATAATACATACACATAACAGTGAATATCAAATTATTTTTAAATATTTGTTTTTTATCAATTATTATTGTATATTAAAGTATTATATTTTTGCTGCTTCGATCATATATAGCTTTGTGATGATCATTATAATACAAGAACATATTATGTTATTAAAATTTAGCCAAATATAACTTGCTGTTTTTATTTAAACCCACCAATTTGAAATATTGCTTTATTATAAAAATCATATATATTTCATTTGTAAAATAATCGAACAATAATACTATAGTTTTTATTTCACTTGAAAAACTTTAAGTATTAAATATTATGCAACATTATTGCACAACAGGTTTGGTTGACCTGCAGTAAGGTTGACTTTCACTATGCTCAGTTATTATCACATAGTTGTCAGAGGTAGTTCAAAAATACGCGAGTGTTATTATCGCTCGTTAATTATTTTTTATTTGTTTATTCGTTACTGTAAATTATCAAAACAGTATATCAATCGTTAATTTTGTTTCTTTTTTGTTAAAATAGCACTAGGAAGAATATAGATTTTTAGCATATTCAATGACTCATTCAACCAAAGTGTCCTTTCACAAAATATTGCTACTCTATTACTGTTTGAAAAATTGTGTTAATTTATTAATTTTTTAAACAAACTATCTCAAGATCCATGTGAAAATATTGAAAGTGATTTGCTTTATGATTTTATCTACATGATAAAATTTATCAATACTGTTATAAAATAAATAAAATTCTTAAAATCTTAGAAAGACCAAACTACGAAATATTTAAAAAATCAATTTGTCTCAATATCTTTTATAAAAATAAAAAATGCCAGATCAATTTAAATTTACTACTTCAAATATGTACAAATGTATGTGACTTATCATAAATTTAAATATATTTTCAAATAAAAATTTAATGTTTTTGTTATATAAGTGTTTTATTCCTTTTATCATTTACAGATGCAAAAGCAGCAGAAGCTGCTCAAAGTGCATATTATGATCCAAATAGACCCCAGTGTGCCTATGTTCCACCTCCTGCATACTATGTAAGTAGAACATTCATTATATAATTTCTAAATATTATCTGGGAATCAAAAATTAATACTACAAATAAATGTTCCTTTGTATATATCTTAGGAAAGTCCACCAAGTTTTCAACAGGCAACAGAGAAAAAGGATCAGTAGAAATGCAACCTTGAAGTCTGAAAATGATGATGTAACATCAGCATTGTTCAATTAGTATTATATGTATGATATGCTGTATTGCATAGCAACAGGTATATGCATTCCACTTTAAGTTCTGATATATGTCGTTTTGGTGTGTGTAATTAAATGAAACAATATTTCTATCTTTCCTATGCTATCCACAATTTTTAAATATAACACGATATATTGTACTTTTATGCTTCAAAGTTTGCGAGTATTTATACTTGCAATGTCAAACTGTATAAACGATTTATAAAAAAAAATTCTATCGCGTTGTGTTTTATGCAATTAAATGAATATATAAAATAAAAGTTGCTATATATGAGTATGCAGGGAAAATCACATTGAAACACTTTATCTATATTCATATATTTTATTAAAAATTATAGGTTGAATATATTTGTACATGTACATACATATATATAATTAAATATAAAATAAATAACAATTGATCGCTTTCAGTAAAGTTTATGCATTAAATTTACACGAAATTTCGTTAGCCAAAGCGTGTTTAACTGTATGTATCTCTTTATTGGAAGTAAAATGTTCTATAATAGCTTGTGCTACATGCATTTTTAAATGCATATACATGTATAAAAATTCAAATATACGAATACAGAAATAATTTTCAAACATATAATGGCCATGTACATTGCAGTACAAATTGTTTTTTCATTTGTGCTAATAGTATCCAAAAAATTCGTTAATTCTTATTTCCATTAGTTTTTAACTATGGCAAAACCAATAAATATCCAGAAATTGTATATAACTCGATACATAATAATTATAATAAATAGGCAATCTAAAATATTGCAAAATTTAATCTTCTGTACATTCTAATCTATGCATTAGTAAATATATATATCTTTCATTAAAAATGGCACCTTCAAAAATTTTACTATATAAAAATTTCATACATAATGTAATGCTACTCATTAATAGCATGTCCTATAATATCAAAATTTTTGTGCATATAAAAACTTTATGTATATTTAATTAAGCATCAATATAATGCAATAATTTAACAAGGCAAAACATTTTGGATCTTTCAATTTTATAATATAAAAATTTTCAACTCCATAGAATCCTATCTATGTAGTCTGTAAAATTGATCAAATATAATTTTGCCATATACATATAAAGATCTATCCATACTCTGAAGTGACTGTCAAGCTGAAGTTTCCTCCTTTCACATAAGTGCTATGATACCAAATTCTTGTATCCAACAAAACAATATCTCCAGCATAAACAGTAAAATTAAAACGCGTACAAACAGTATCACATTCCGGAGTCGGAGCGACGCTCCACGTTTTATTGCCTATAATTTGCCCTTGCCACATTAGACGCGAAATATAATCTAGCTGTAAACAAAATAAAACCTGTGATTAACTAAAAATAATTAAAAATAAGTGTGCATATATTATTACTATTATATACGTACATGCATAATGGCACCTTCTTCATATCCTAAAAAAACATAATTGGAATAAGGAACCTCCGCATCCTCTGGTAAAAAATGAGGTAGATTGTAGTACCGTTTCATAATATCCAAAATCTGAAGGTGACAATTTTTCCAACCAACATACCAAGGATCTTTACCATTATACTGCATAGCTCTTTCTTCAGTCATTGCAAAAACATCACGTAAATTGGTAAGATTACTTTTGAAATGCAAGAATTGACATTCATCTACCGAATCATAAGCACCATCAATATTCTCATATAAATCTTTGAAGAATTTCCAGCTAAATACCTTTGAAGCTGGCCAATGACTTGCAGCATATTTTATCACCATAGGTCTAGAAGAATAGGCATATTGTTTGAATTCTTCTCTTGTTAAATTTGGCAAGATCAGTGCTGAAGTAACATCTCGACAATAATCACAATTTGATATCGGTCTTGTAAATTCCCATATGAAATAATTATTTGGTATTAAGCATCTAGTTTCACGAATGCTTCTGATTATATCAAAATATAAATATTTAAAAAGTATGCTACAAAATATTGGTGTAAATAAGGCAAGAAGAACCTTTTTAGAACACAAGTAATGTGAGATATGGTTCCTTTTATTTTTTATGTTATTTTCTAAACTAGCAGACTTAAGATCTACTAACGATGCACCTTGCTCCAGGAAGCTTTCTGTTAAAACAAGAAATGCTTCTTCTATATCTTCTAATATATTATCACTCTGTTCCATTACTAATAGGGCAAGTATTCAGAATTCAATATAAATTTAAGTAACCATTGATATTGAATACCTTTTTTATGTATATCATCTGCTTAGGAGATAATACATATTCCACTTATCTTCTGGTTACTCATATTTCAAATTAATGACAACATTAATTCTGTCATTAGCAATAATTGTACAATAGAATTTATGATTTTTCTGCTCATTTCTTTAAAAATTATTTCTAATTTTTGACACTTTGCTTAATTAGTGATCACACTTCATTCATCAGGTCATAGATTTTCTGTCACAGAGAAAGCATTGTTCAATTGTGTAGAAAACGCTTATTACATGTTGGTTAGAATCATATTACCATTAATAGTAACGAGTTAACGTGCTATTTCATTATTTACACTATGTGTAAAAATGACAGTCATGGAAAAGACATCAAAGTGACGTCGATTTAAATTGTAGAAACAGAGATTTCCACGAACTATGTTATATCATCATATGTATTGCCTTGACATATACACGCATACAAGTACTGTATTCAACCTTGAACCACTTACATACATACGTTTCACCGAAATACAAAGGTTTATATCAATTGCGAAATTATAATTAATTTTTGATTCGTGCAGAATTCTAATAATTCTTTTCTTTTCTTACTTCAAACAGAGTAAACCTTGCAACACAGCTTGCTTAGCCTCGAGTAATTTAAAGCCATAATAAGGAGTTTCCTGTTCATAACGAACAAACGTAAGGGAATCTAGATTTCTCGCAATTATGCGGGTAAGAAGCCCGAGTTCGATCCAAAACTTAAAAATTACTTTATTATACTTTATTTACAAGAATAATTTATGTGAGTTAGTAACAAATATTTATTATATTTATATTTCAATATAATTTACAAATAAAAAAAATGAAAGAAAATCACGTTTGAGAAGACTTAAAATTGTTTATTTTTATCAAATCACACAACATGATGTACAAGTCTTGTTTTAAATGGACATTGAAATAGTTTTTCGAATGTGCAAATAGTTATGAATTCCATGTAGATATTACGGTAGATACAAGTTTGATTTGTCGTTTTCCCGGGTTCTCGTTCAGTTGTGTACATGTACAGTATAAAACCTAATTTACAGCAGTTTATAATACTAACGTTACATAATAATTTAATGCTCGTCTTAATAATGCTCGTCGAGATATACAGTCCACTTGAACTCTAGTGCACAGCGAAATTTTGAGACGGCTAATTCCCCTGGACAATTTTTGTTTTATAGGCCAATATCAAGACGCGTGCAAATATATTTTGACAAATTCGTTGTTTCGTAATCGAACAGTAACATCGTACCAAAAATTGCATTTTTTCCATCTTTATAAAATGCGGACTATATTTCTTGATAATAACTTAGCTTATTGCAACTTGAATTTCGTTTATAATTCGTACCTTCTTGTTTTTATTTTTTTAATTGAATCAAATTAATTTGTGACAAATTTGTTTTGAAACTTAACATTTATAAAATCAGCTTCGATACTCGACATAAATTGTAACTATAAAAATAGATCTGAAACAATTCGTTTTTGAATATCTAAACTATTTTAATTTATTATTTAATGTCATTAAATGTACTAAAAAGTTGAATTATTTCTCGACGAACTTCAAAAGATTGTAAATGCAACATCATAACTTCTTTCTTCACTTCCTCCTATAAATGTAATTTTACAAACATTTCACTTTATTTTAAAGATCCAAGCATTTCTATTTAAATAAACAGAAAAGTTAAAAATCTTTAATCTGTTCATTTAAATGACAATTCTTTTACCTAAGGTAATAAAATGTTTCTTTTTAATATAACGTATTTTCCTAAGAGTTAAAAAACTTATGATATTTACAAATCTTATGTACGATATAATTCAGAGAAATTAAGATTACAGTTAGCATTACTTGAATATATTAAAAAATTTCAATAATCCAGAAATCGCAATGTTGTATAAACATTTCTTTTTGCTATCAGAAATGGTAATTATAAATTCGTAAAATGTATTAATCTTTATAAAATATTTTTATCATTTTTAACAAAGTTAAAAATTATCTAAGAAAATTTCCTTAACAAAAAGAAAGAATACTTTTATTAGAACATATCAGTTATTATCCAACGCAAAATAAGTTATTACTTACTGTTAAAAATGTGTGACTAGTACAGTCGTGTTTGTATCAATGCTTACACCTGATTACGCTTTGTTTTTGAAGAGACCGAAACTTCCATCAATGTTCGATCAGAAGTAGCACCACTTGCCAAGAACAGCATCTTTTATAGCGGATATGTATTGTGCAGGAACCCAATATATCCAGTATCTCGAAGCTTCTGTTGTGCCTAATTGTATAGCCTACAATTTAAAAAAATATTTGTGTAAATCATATGGTTCATATTATATTAATGTAGCAACACTTCCTTTGTGAAAAATTGAAAAAATAGACAAATTTTAATTATGTCAGAGCATGCCAATTTTATGTTAAAGTACAAACCATAATATGATATTCAGGATGATCATGTATTGGTTCACTGTGTACACCTTTTATGGAATTCATGGGTATTTTATCTGTTCTTTCTTTTGTACCAATCCAAAGCTGATCTTGCTCCAATTTAAATGTTAATCTAACTTTACCGCCAGATTTATTTAACATACCAGCCAATGGAAATTCTGGTAGAGGTTCCTAAAAGTTAAAACAATTAAATAAAAATACACAATATTTAATAAAAATTATTACTTTAATTAAAGTATATGTCATACCTTACTATCTAATATACCAGGCATCACATCATCAGGCATACCTTTATCTAATACTTTCCTATGTATTTTTTGCTGAGATAAAGGTTCTTTATTTGTAGTGGAAGCAGCTTCATCTAACAAATCCTGTTTTGATGGAAGTGAAATGGCTAATACATCATCTAGTTTTGACCCTACTACCATCACTTTGGCACCTTAAAAGTATAATTATATAACACAACATATAATAAATAGCTGATAAAAATCAGTGCACAAAAGAGGGAATATTATATTATATAATAAAAGTTACCTTTTGTAACACCCAAACTTCTTAATGTTTGTTCATTTTTGGCTAGTCCTTTAATCATAACCTTCTGCATAGATTGTGGCACAGATATGATATTTTGAAGATAAGCTTTCAGTTTTGCCACTGTACCATCAAGTGGAAAATTTACATTAATCCTTTGTTTATTATAAATCACTTTAAAGTCTATGTTCTCTTGGGGTGGATCATGCGAGGTAGTTGCAATATTATTATCTCTCTTTTGTATGCCTCGAATCTGAGGTTTTACTGTTGAGTCCTTTTTTTCTACCAGCAAATTTTCATTAGAATTTGTATTTGATACTAGTTCAGCACAAGGAGTTGAGTTACAAGAGTTGTCGTTGCTTTTACTTTTTGCAGCATCTGTAAAATATAAGTAACTTAATATTTTTTACATACAAATACTGTCATCATTATGTCATATATAATATGATATTATAATAGTAAATGAGCAGTTATATTAATAAGATTTTAATAAACCATTAGTAGATTACAAAAAACAATGAAAATTTAGCAATCGAATAAACTACAAAAGGAAAAATTGTATAAATGAAAGGTTATGTTTAAAATGACACGTATTTAAAAGAAAGAACAGAGAAAACGCAATTCATCGAAAAAATATATAAATGTTAAATTTCATATTTTTTAAATAATTTCAAATTAGATTTATGCAAGATTCATAGCAAAAATATATATGACTGTTTGTACGGAAATTAATCCAACATATACAATTGCCTGATTGTAACATATCACGGTAAGATTTTTCTGGGATGTAGATATTTGCTTTATTTAAAAATAATTAATAATAAATACAAAAAAAAATGTAAAAAAATATTTATTGCTTGGAAATTGCTAATAAAAATCACGAAAATCGTCAAGTACGTACCGACGTACTCCATGATGAACTGTATTTCGTTGACCAATCAAACTATTACAGGATACATTGTAGTTCCTGCTATTCGTATTTACAGCGATCCTTGAAATGACTTTCAAATTTTTAAATATGTTCTAAAAACGTGAAACGAAAGTACTTTCATCTAAATTTAGATGAATAAAAAATCTAGTTATATTGTCTTCATATTCTTAATATAAATACATTCTTTATTAACCAGATGTCATCAACAATTTCTCAATTCTACATAAATACAAACTACACATGCATATGTATATATATATTTTAAATTTAATTCTTCTGTTACATATTGTGTTCTTCTATCCTAATATTTTATTAGGAATATGATACATATTTTTGTACATAATACATATAAACATAGATTAACTTTAATCACAATTTTCAATGAATTTACTGTTCATATTCACCATAACAGATTTCATAATATGGTATATAACGAACTATAAATAAGTTTCCAAATCTTGTTTTTACTGGTTAAATTTATTTTATTAGTGGAATTGGATATATAATTGCTTGATATAATTCTTTAAATTCAATATCAAATTTCAAGTTTTCATATTTTAATTTACTGATTTTGCAAATTTTGAAATTGATTACGCATTGTTTTAAATATTTTAAGAAAAACGTATATCTATACATTATTGTAATTATATTTTTATATGTAATTATAAAATATCATTATTAATTATTGGAAAGACATGTCTCCTAATTTTATCAAATTACGAATATGTAACTATAACGAACTTGTTCATCCCTATCACAATTAATACTAGTATCAGAGAGGTAAGTTTTCTCTTTATTAGTAAATAATGTTTGAAACCATAAATTACGTAACCTTGATGTATATAGGTTAAGTATTTATTCATATAGATGTTGGCTATAATGATCAATGTAACAAACAGAAATTCAATAAAGAAATGTACCTTGCACCCTGTTTTTCAATTTTAATTTCTGCATATGTTTATCGAACAATATTTTACAATTTTGTTTACTATTCAACTTTAGTTTTTGAATTCATTATTCTTATTAAGAAAATTTTATTTACGTTAGAAGTCTTAATTATTTATAAAATGATTACACGTATACATTGCTTATTAAGGAATTTCAATTATCTGTAATCGGTATAGTTTGGACAAAATTGAAAATTGTAATAAAATCGAGTGGCGTAGGATGGCGTTGTAATCAAGAATCGCCATCTTGTGCACCACATGACCTCGTTGCCGTGTCCCGTGACCAGCTCACGTGAATTTTGACAAATTCAAACGTTTTTGGTAGAAAAAAAAATGGATATTTTGGAGCAGCATCTCGAACAGCAGGATGTCAGGTAGTGTTTATGTTAAATATCGACTGGCTGATAATGCGAACACCTATCCCTCCTGTTTCGCTCGAGGTCTCCTCAAGGTCATCACGTAGTGCACTGTGCGCACTTACAAGACTTAGGACAACGGTCGTGGAAGTAATAGGCATAGACGTAATTCTATAGATAAGTTACATATCCATTCTTCAATGTGTTTATGTTTGTTTTACAGCACTGTTCACGCGAAGGATGACGGGGGCACGGGAATTGTTATTGAGGAAGCGGAAATCGTAGATTGCGAAGGTAAATAAATATTTGTCATAAATTCAAAAATGTCTATATCTCAAAAGTTGACAATTAAGTTTTGTTCGATTAGAAGTCAAATTGATCAATTGCACTTTTTCCTTTAACTTAGATATATATAAAAATATATCAAATATTTTATTAAGCTTATTCATTGCAAATTGTAAAGTAAATTTCAAAGAAATATGTTTAAAGTCATCAGCTTTCTCTACTTTTCGATTTATGAAGTTGATTCATATAGCTTCTAAGCAGCTTAGTCATTAATTTGCAAAAATTTGAATTATGAAACAATTACAGGAGAACCTGTCGGGGAAGATGGAATGCGTTACCAAGAAGCTCTTGCTTATAGAGTGGTCCAAGTAAATGGCGCTACTGCTGGCAATGAAATAGAACTGCCAGTTACCCAACCAGGAAATAATACTGTACAAGTCCTAACATCCCCGTTGAATGGACAATTTTATGTCATTGGAAATGCTAATGATGTTTTCACTACTGCGCAAACATCTAGATCACTGGTTCCTAGGACCACTACATTACAAATAGAAACACCAAGAAATTGTACTACTGTTTTGAAAAAGGTATATTTTTCCTTCAGTCCTTAAAGCTCTTTGAATTTTGTTTTATTTGTAATATATACTTTAGAGAGATGACAGAAGAAGAGCAACTCATAATGAAGTCGAACGTAGACGAAGAGACAAAATAAACAATTGGATTACAAAATTGGGAAAAATTATTCCCGAGTGTAATGCAGGTGCAAACAGCACTGGTAGTGGCAGTGGTGAAGGAAAGGCAAATTATGAAACTCAGGTATTAAAATAGAACTTATGGAATTTGCAGTTATAGAAACATTTAACAATAGCATTTTTTCCACGAGTTTCTTTTGTAGAGCAAAGGTGGAATTTTATCAAAGGCCTGTGAGTATATAACGGAATTAAGAGCAGCAAATCAGGGGCTAGGTCAGTGTTTACGCGATAACGAAAAATTACGACAAGAAATAACTGCTTTGAAACAAGTTGTTACACAATTGAAACGTGAGAATCTTCAGCTCAGGTCACAAATGTCACCCTCCACAGGAACGAATGTTGATGTTGTTCATTTGAGTCCTTAAAAGATTATTAGTTTGTAATGCAATGCTTCTTTTGTAAATATTAGGATATACAATCTGACCATACAATGGTCAGAAGAAGTACTCTATTTACTCTTACAATTTTTGGTTTCATAGGAACCACACCAAATTTTATCATATTGAAATTCTGTTCTTTGAAGTATATTGCATGGTCCTAATGGTATGGTCGTAACTATCATTATAATCTTGTATACTTGTACGCGACATCATTCATGTTGCGTTTAAATTGAACTTTCCTCTTTAATGCTTATTAAATTATTTGGTATTGGATATTTGAACATTTTGCCCTGTTAAGATCTTGATTGCGTATTCATGAGTATATCATGGATATTTGCTAATTATCGAATACTGGTGAAGTTATGACTATCCCTTATAGAACCTATAAAAAAAAGAATTTTATATTTATGTATGCATATGCATTGGATTGAATTACCTCGTGTACGACGAACGAGCCAAGGCTGTGAATATTGAGCATTGATTTGTAACTTTCGGATATATAATTTCAAACGATGTAACCAAAGTTAATTTGAAAAAAGAAGCAAGAAGAACATTCAGTTGCAATACAAACAAAAAAATGCGATGCAAATTATACATATATAACAACTGCATCTTTACAGAGATCGTTAAATATTTTTTATTTTTAATAATGTTTTAATGAGCGTAGAGTAGGTATTTCCGTAAAAGAAAATGATCTAAATAATGAGAATATAAAATAGACTATCGCACACGTATGGATGTGTATATATATTTATATATGCATATACATACACGTGTGTGTACATATGGATATACGTACGCATATAGCAATAAACATATTTTTTTCAACCCAGGATTTTGAACTCTACGATGATGTGTCGGAATAATCGAAAAAATTAAATACTGGTTTGTAATATATCGTTGATGTACATACCGCGAAGGTTATTGTTATATTATATTATTATTAAAATGAAATTTATCGAAACACTGTTATTTTTATTTAATCATTAACAATCTCGAAGTTTGGCCTTTTTATGCATAGTGTTTATTTGTTTTTTACATATGGTACAATGGAAATGTCGAAGTTACTGGAACACTGTTTACGATGCGTCTTTCTTTATACTTTGTTTTCAACGATAAAAGATCCTGCACCTCAACAGTTCTAACATTTTGACACCCTTTTTTTTAAACTTTCAGACCATATTTCAACGGTTTCAACATTTAAAATAACATCTACTTTTATGTAACGTCTGCATTCGTCACTTAACGCGACATTTACATAATATACTATTATAATACAATATTTAATACTCTTTAATTGAAATTCCATTCTTTTGTAAAAAGCTACCATTTCATCCCATGATACAACAAAATACAGAACGATTATGTTTTTTCTTTTTAAAAGAATAACATATAAGGATGAATGGAAAGCTTCTTATGATGCATTTACTCTCATTTTACATACATATGACAGTTTCTTTACACTGATCCTTCCATGATTAAATTCAATTTACAGCAAATAAAATCGGAAGCTTGAGTCGCCAGGCATCTCATCTTTTTTTCCAACAATTTAAATTAATTACATATAACTTCATTTCAAGGATTTGAAGTAGCTTGGTATAGCACTTAATATATAAATACTTATAGAAGCTGGAAATACATTTAAGGACGTCCTATAACCTTAGTGATTCAGCCATCACGTATAATTTTCTGTTTAAATGTTAGGTTAATACACATAAAATTATTGTAGCTTTTATATTTGTAACACTTTTTATATATACAATTTCTTGTAATTATTGAAAACTAATATAACAGTTTAATGTGCGATACGTGATTACGAATGTTCCATATATTTTTTTTAGTAGATCCAGGACATCCTTAAATGACCAGCATAAGGTTCCTGAATGTAGAGAACTTATGTTTGTATGAATGTTTCTGATAATTAATCTTCTAAATTTCTAAATGCCTGTTGAATATCTTCATATAACTGATCAAAATCAGCTCTGATCTTTGCTTCACCGTCTTGCACTGGATCCTGAAGAAAAAATATATAACATGTGTTACACACTTTTTAAAATATACAAGTAAAACCATCCTAACCTATGCTTACCTTGAATTTCATAGAACTCAACTGATAGAGAATATTGTACATGCTATCCCTAATGACATTCCACGTTATTTTATTGTCTGATTGTGCCGTAGACTCGACTGCATGCCTTGCCATGTCATAGAATGCTATCATATTTCGTAACATTCCGACAGTTTTGTAGAATGGACAGAAACGATCGTATGTTGAATAACTACGTAAAAACAGAATAGTAAAAATGAACATCGATAATATTAATTAACATTAACATGACTATGGCAAAACGATAATTCGCACCTGTTTTGTTGCAAGAAATCGTCTTTTAGAAGTTTTGCAACTTCTAAAGTGATTTTATCTGTCTCAGCAAGAGAAGCTTTACCGACTAACTGTACAATTTCTGATAAATCCTCCTCTTCCTGCAAGATTTCCTTCACTTTCGTTCTCAGAGGAACAAACTCCGCGAAATTTTTATCGTAGAAATCGTCTAAAGCTCGAAGATATTTACTGTATGAAATAAGCCAGTTAATGGATGGGAAGTGTTTTCGTTGTGCGAGTTTCTTATCGAGACCCCAGAATACCTAAGAAATGGACAAAAAAGCAAATTATAAGGGTAAAAAGGAAATAAAAAAATAAGTTATGCAAATAGAAAATAAACATTAAGTGCATTAGTACCTGCACGATACCCAGGGTTGCACTAGTAACAGGATCAGAGAAATCACCACCTGGTGGTGATACGGCACCTACTATACTGACAGAACCCTCACGATCAGGATTACCTAAACATTTCACTCTGCAAACAATATTTAACATTAACAATATAATCAATTAATATATACGTATATCGCTATATTAAATGAAAATTGAACTTACCTTCCTGCACGTTCATAAAAGCTAGCTAAACGAGCTCCAAGATAGGCCGGATAACCGGAATCAGCAGGCATTTCAGCCAATCGACCCGAAATTTCACGAAGAGCTTCTGCCCAACGAGATGTTGAATCAGCCATCATGGATACATTGTAACCCATATCTCTAAAATACTCTGATAGAGTAATGCCTGAAATATTTGACATAGGAAAGTGAAATACGTTGTCATCAAATTTGTACTGTCGTTTTCTTATTAATAGAAATACATTTACCTGTGTAAATGGATGCTTCACGAGCAGCTACAGGCATGTTTGACGTATTAGCAACCAAAGCTGTACGTTTCATGATAGACTCAGTGACTCCATCAATCTCCACTGTTAATGTGGGGAAGTCACGCAATACTTCAGACATTTCATTACCACGTTCTCCACAACCGACATAAACAATAACATCGGAGTTTGAATACTTCGATAAAGCTTGTGAAATTACAGTTTTACCGCAACCGAAAGCACCCGGAATTGCTGTAGTGCCTCCTTGAACGCATCTGCAATTTTTATCAATAAGTACTATATATAGTGCATAAAGCAATTAAGTAAATTCTTACGGGAAAAGTGAGTCCAGGACTCGTTGACCAGTAAGCAAAGGATGATTAGCTGGTAATTTTTCAGTAACTGGACGAGGTTGACGTACAGGCCATACCTGCATATGCAAGATCATATTAGCATGTATATATCAGTATTAAAGAAAAAATTATTTGCATACCTGAAGCATAGTATACTTGTGTTTTTCACCATCAAATTCTGTTTCCAAAATAACATCCTGTAAAGTAAAAAATATATATCAGATAAATAATTAGAATAATTGACTTGCTCACTTATTAACATATAACTTACAGATACTGTATAATTGCCAGCAGGTGCAACATAAGTTACAGTTCCCTTACTTTTTGAAGGTAAGATCATTTTGTGCTTTACTAATGTGTTCTCATAAACCACACCATACAAATCTCCACCAGTAATATGGCTGCCACTTTTTATATTACATGGACTAAATTCCCAAACAGTGCTTCTTGACAATGCTGGTACATTAATACCCTTTGGGATGTAAATAGAGCTTGTAAGCTCATTGATATCCTTCAATGGTCTCTGAATACCATCAAAGATATTGCCAAGTATACCAGGACCAAGTTCTACAGACAATGGTTTTCCAGTACGTAAGACAGGATCACCTACAGTTACACCACTGGTTTCTTCATACACCTGGAACAAAATATAAATGTAAATGACATAATAACATTGTAAAAATAATATGATAAATTTTTAAATATATCAAAATAGTTTATTATACCTGAATAGTGGCCATATCACCTTCTAAACGAATAATTTCTCCTACTAATTCATAGTATCCTACCCTAACCAGCTCATACATGGCTGATCCCGACATTTTCTCAGCTGTAACCACTGTAGGAAAATAAATATGTGTATTAAAATTGAAAACATAAATAAATTTCTTAAAAATATATATCGTATACTAACCAGGACCAGATACAGCATATACATAGCCAAATTTGGATTCTCTCTCTTCATTACTAATTTTTGATAACCCTTGGTTCGACATTGTAAATTGTTATTCAAGTAAAATCGACGAACAACTGAAAATATTTTGCATTATAAAATATAAATAAACCTACATACTGAGCATATAATGAGAAACATTTATTTGAGCGAAAGTTAAATTAATAGTATTCATTACGCATTTTCTATAAAAAAAAAATATTATTATAATAAAATGCAAAGTATATATGGTTAATCATTCCAAGGAAGTGTAAGTTTTGATCTAAAAACAATTTTACAGAATTACGTTCAATTTGTGAGATATGATCATAAGATTAAGTTGATATCATTTCAGTCTGACATGTAATCAACAGCAACTAATCACACACCGACAAAAATATGACAAAAACGAGGGTAAAAGGACAACGCTCGTGAACAATAAGTATATTCCGGAAATGAGTACTCTTACACGCGGCCTAAGTCAATTACGACGACGAAAATCGGCGAGAAAGTTGATGTCAGCTAACGCATCCATTCATCAGAAAATTCACGTGAGCAGTTCATTTAAAAAGTAGGCGTAGCCCTCTTTAAGCCCGCGAGACGTCTGCTCACTTAATAAGAATGTCGAATCCAATTGATGTATTTTGTCGTCAAATAGAACAGCTTAGCTCGTTTTTCGTGTAATTATATACGATATCGGTGATACCGTTTAATCGTGGACATCGATTAAAACATACAAATTCATGTCCGGATCGAAAAACGATGGCGCATTCAAACTGGTACGATCGATACTATACGCGCCAGTCTTTTCTGCAAAAATCTTTGGTTTCCTCTATATAGTACGAAATCATTATAATCGCTCTGGTTATATAGTGAATCAAGGCGAAGCATGGTAATCTACAATCAACGAAACTAAATGACAGTAAGAAACTTACGAGATGAGAAACGTATCGAGGTAAGTCCAGCCTACTACAGCGAGTCAAGCTTCACAATCGAGCCTGCTATCACAAGACAGGTCAGCTGACTGAACGATGTGCCTGTTTTCAATTATCTAGCTCTCTCCTTCGGTTAAAGGTAGCATTCACAAGTAAACGAAATTTTTATTATCTTTATCGATTGTTATTTTATTACTTCACTTTGGTAACCCCAATCTTATTCTTGCTTAAACAAAAAGAACATCTAATATTTTAAAAGAATTATAATATTGTATAATAAGACTGTAATATCGTTAAAGAAAATTATGGATAATATCGAGAAAAAAATAAAGAGTAATTGTACCATTAAAAATGCGCGTATTGTTGCGTTGATTTTGACATATCGAATATTTTTAAAAAGGTATTATTTTGAACAACTAAAGGAAATTATATATTTTCAAGCTAATATATCACATATCCATATAACGCGCACAACAATTATAATTTGTATTCTGTTTATATATGCATGTATGTATGTAGATATTCACCTTTGAAGAGTGCCAGACAGTGCTGATGAAAGGTGATTAAAATTAGCATTACCAGGCTAAGGCAATATTTATTATCAGATTGTTATAATTTTTACGGATTATATATATTCTACAACATTTTCTTTTAAAGACAATCTAATTAGCCATAAACTGTTTAAGATTTTTCTCAACGAAGTTACACTATAAAACAAACAAAGAAAAAACAAATATATAGTATTATTTTGTACTTTAATAAAAAAATCAATATTTAGATTTAGTACTTTTATTTTTATTAAAATATGCTAGCCTAAATTATTGAAGATATACGAATAAAACAATTGTACAATTAGAAAAAGAAAAATATACATAACTTCTATTTTCTTTGATTCGCGCGAATCTAAAATGCACTGTCTATATATCATTATATCTATGGATCGTCATCTTTAACACATTCACTTACTAGAAAATTATGTAACCTAGGCAACGATGAGTTTGCATTCGTGTGTATATGTATATGCTCTGCCGTTAACGTGTGGGTAAGTATATTATGCGTAGAACTGTAGTCAGTGAGGTAGTATGGTTGGTAGTATTGCGGTTACGGTCGTTGTAGCGGAAGGAACGGAAGAAATAACTAATTGTAATTCTTTAATCACATTGTCTTTCTATGATCGTTTGCTTTTATATTTGACAATCATTTGTGAAATTGATCAACATTTTAACAACACATAAAATCTCCGTTTTAATAATTACTAGTGATAGATGTGTATGACTGAACAATCTAAGTGAAAAAAATTTTTGCTTTGTAAATAATACATTATGGATATCAAGAAATTGCAAGAATTCATGGAACTGGTAGGCAGATTGAAGGTAAGATCAAATTTATTACTATAATCGAAATCCAAATTTTTGTAAAATGTCCTTGTGATAAATAGATATAAATCTACCATTTTGATGTATATATACTGTTATGAATAGAGATATTAGCGTATTCTTTAAAATAGAATATGTGAAAAAAAGGCGAACTTCGAACGTCTGGGGCGATCGCCTGTCCTTCATTACCTTCGGCTATGGAAAAGCAGATATCAACACTTTAGGGCGCCATAAATTAAACCTTCATCCGCATTGTGTGAGGACTAACAGTCTCAATATCTTGCGATTGTGATTGCAATTACCTTAATTCTATAATAGGAACAGGCAGCGTAACTATGGGAGGGTGCAGAAAGCTATAATCTCTCCCTCGCTAGAACAAAAGCTAGCGGGCTCTCTTACCTTTTGCGCGGCTGCGACAAGGGTACTTGTCATTTATTGTATTAGGTTGTTCGAAAAGTGTCTTTCTTTTACAGACATGTCTTTTACAACAATGCATCTTTATACAAACACGAAACCTAATCTGTCGAACGTTGTAATATTTATCTCGTAATATTTATCTCTTAATAACTTGTAAAAAAATCTAGTCGTTGATCCAATTTTAAGAATATTATTCAATTTTAAAAGGTGTACAATTCTAATTAAGACTTAGTGTATGTTGTACACAAGTGGCCACTTTTGGCATTCTTAATTAGCTATATGTCATACTTTTGTACTAAATTATACCTCTTCCGATATATTAAATACTATATATTGATTATATATTGTATATATATATATATACAATAATATAAAATGTAAAAAAGTGAACAGTAAAAAGCTGTCATATATTCTTTAATCATTCTTATTTTACAACATCTTATCAATCTTATCATCTTAATCTTATCTTATTAATTTAATTAAATGTTTATATGTTATACATTCACTTTATACATTTTTCTGTTTTTAATGATAATCTCAATTTTTTATCATGTGCCTTTTAATTATAAATCAAAGATTAATATGATTTTTGTTTTATGATTTCAGCATATGAAAAGAACAGGATGGGTTCATAAGAATGTGTCTGATCCAGAAACAATCGCAGGTCACATGTATAGGATGGCCATGCTTTCCTTTCTGTTGAATAATGATGAGAACTTAGATACAGTCAAGTATGAAATGGTATTATTTATATCATGCAGCTAGCAACTATGTTGATGAAGGTTTTATCTCTATAAATTATTTTTTTTGTCAAATGTAGAATCATGCAGATGTCTTTAATACATGATTTGGCAGAGTGTATTGTGGGAGATATAACACCTCATTGTGGTATTCCACCTGATGTAAAACATAAATTAGAGGATGAAGCTATGGAAAATATTTGTGAACTCCTTGGAGACAGAGGACTTACAATATTGGAAATATTTCGTGTATGAAAAATTGATATATATATATATATATATGTATGTCGGAGATGGAAAGACAGCGGGATTTCCCGTCCGGAATGTTGGGAAAAACCCCAATACCCTAGTCCAGACTTTTACTATAGCCGCCCTTAAGCAATAAAAATAAGAAACAGTCTTAATGTTCCAATCTGACTTTATGACGATGGGTTTGGGCTCTAAGTGACATAGCGGGTCACTAGACGTATCCACGATCCACGGGAGGACAAGTATCAACGTGCTACTCGATTCGGGTAACTTCCCGATAACTCAATCGGCAATTCAACGACTAACTAACAAACTAACTCCCTTAATCCAAAAGAGGCTGCCCTTATATACTCCTGTCCTCGCTTCTCGGGTCAGTTTTTGTTTTTAAGGAGAGCTATATAATCATTTCATACCTCTGTCAGGTACATGTCCCTCCCGTGACCGTGGCTACGTCTAGTCTAGTGGCTATGTCACTTCGAGCCCAAACCCATCGTCATAAAGTCAGATTGGAACATTAAGACTATTTCTTATTTTTATTGCTTAAAGGCAGCTATAGTAAAAGTCTGGACTAGGGTATTGGGGGTTTTTCCAATATGTTTTGGAAGTTATCTTATTATATTGTTAATGGTTACAGGAATACGAGAAGCAAGAAACCCCAGAAGCAAAATATGTTAAGGACTTAGACAGATTAGATTTAATTATGCAAGCATATGAGTATGAAAAAAGAGATAATATTCCTGGAAAGTTGGAGGAATTCTTTTTGTCAAATGATGGTAAGATAGGACATCCTTTTATCAAGAAATTAGCATCTGAAATTACTGCAACAAGGCAGGCTCTATGTAGTAGTTCTACTAGTTCAATATAAAGTTTTATCTGTTTGTTATGAAGCAAAACATCATAAATTTCATAACTGTATTTAATAGCTATAATATAATAATATAATATTTTCATGGAAAATAAAGATAAATATGTTTAGAGCTACTATTTCAAATATATTTCCAATTATTGACATAGCGGTATTTTTCTTTATTTTCTATGAAAATAAGAGTCTTTATAAATATTTTATTAACAAATTTTTTTAATAATAATATTTATAACAAATTTAATTAATAAAACTTACAAAGTAAGTTAGATCACTGTGACAGATACTTTGAGATTTAATACCAAATAATAAAAAAAATTGTACCTTAAGCTTATCATATGTTCAATTTATCCATTAATCTACTATGAATGGCAAATAAATTGTACTAATTATTGTACGATACGGGGTAGCTGGTAGCCCATGATAAAGATGATTCAGAATTTCTGGTAGGTCATATTAAAAATTGCTGGGAATGCAAAGGGTTAAGTTTCTCTTTGCTTAATTTGGACGATATAATTATATCGATAATGATTGTTATTGTTTTTTGTTATTTGTCCGACAATTCGTATTTTATTCAAACTCTTTATAGACTTACAAATTCATTTTTACCAAACCGAAAAGGATCAGTAACATTCATGAAAAAACAGATGATCACCACTCCGTGGCTAGATCCTTCCAAGGAACTCTATTATAACATCTGCGACTCTTAAAATTCGTTGCCCGAAATTTTTTGGTACATATAAAACGAAGATCATTGACTTCAAAACGATTCGAGACTTCTCTATTTCCTCTCTATTAATTCTATTGTTTTTGAAATTTACAATCTCGTTAACAACTCGAACAACTGCGTGAATTACTTATCGATACTGCATTTAAAAATAAGTAAATTTTTTAGTAAACTGCGAAAATATACTAAAAAAAACGAGTCTTATTGTTGAGAATATGTCTATGCAAATTTATATTTTTATGAATATAACTGAAGAAATGAAATCAGTATAGAAATTTATTTTCTTCTATACATATCATAAGGAGTTATTTGAATATTTTCTATATTTGTGCATATTGTGCGTATTCTGTAAATTTTTACACATCTATATATCTGTAAGCTATAATAATAGCATATTTAATATCACATAAAACATACTTTTAAATATATTGTTTTCGCTTAAGGAGAAACCCTGGATTTTACCACCTCTAAAAGTATATTTCTAAACGTGAATGATAGGTGAAAAGGTTTTTAAATAAGAAATTTGAAAACTGTTATCGTAAAGAAACGATTATGGGTAATAAAATGTGTTCAGAATTAGCATTAGCCATTTGCTTCAATATCCGGTGGATATCTTCATTTGTATTGGTCATAAATGCTATGAGTCACGCGTGGTTGATATTTGGAAACTAACCTTTACAGACGTATTTCTAGGAAAGAAATAACTAGGATATATAACATATATCAAGAGTAGACAAGTACCCCTATTTATAAACTTCTTACGTATCTTTCTTACGTATTCTTTTTACGTGTTATTAATATGACGGATCCTTTGATGTATATGTTGAAAGATCCAGAGGGTGATTTTAATTTTGCAAATTTTCGTGCAATGTGTTCAGTAGTTTTTAAGGATGATGATATTCGAAAAGATGAATGGAGGATTCGGGAGATTTTCGACTTATTTGATTTAGATAAAGACGGCGTGTTGAAAGAAGGAGAATTAACGAGGTAAATATGAATTTATGTTGTTATCTTTTTCCTTTTTGTAATGCGAAGAATATATGTATGTATATATATACTTACATACATGCTATGCCGTAATTGGTTCATTTAGATGAAGTTCATAAATTCGTATAATAATAATAGTTGTTATAATTCAAAGCATCTAGGAATAATTGGGACAAAATACAAATTAATTATTGGAATTGAGTTATATTAAGTTGACTCATAAGTCCCAGTAATTATACCTTACACAAAAAAATTCTGAAAAACACTGAAATAACATTAAAAAATGGTGAGAACTTCTGCAAGCATATACTGCCAGTATTTCAATAAAATAATGTATTATATTTAATATGTACATATTAAACCTGTGACTTGATCAGTAATACTAGTACTAAGTAATCATGATTTAACTAACAACTAATGAGTATCTTTTAATAATGAAAATCATATTATGTTTTCTCACATGTACATACTAATGACAAATATATTTAGATCCAAAAAATAAGTGACAGAGTAATGTCAACGAAATTACTAAAATACATACTAGTACAGCTAACAGTTGGAACTTTAGATAATAAATAATAACAAAAAGCTGAAATCCATAATATACTTAGTTATATATAATATATTTCTTATATAGTAATTTTATAATATATGAAATAGCTTGTTGAATCCTGAGTACTGAATTATGTAAATAGCATAATAAAACATTAATCCATGGCACTGTTTTTATCAGGTGAAATGGTTATTTGCACTATAATGTATTTGTATCTGTAACGTAAGCAGATTGAACAGACTCCACAACTATTTATAAGACAGAACAATCTGTCCTTCTTTTTTTTAAACGTTCTATTGCTATTTGAAATATTATGCCCATAACTTAAAATAAATCTAATCCAAACTTAATCTTAATGTATCTTGCATGTATGATTATAAATTTGTGGTACGCATTTCTTTGCACGCTCAACATCTTTAATAAATAAATGTTGAAGTAGTTTATTAAAATACAAAAAATTATACTATCCCTTATACTTTAGTAAGTACTTGATTCACTATTATGAATGTTAACAACCAACCAGTATTATTTTTTTATAAAGATACATACCTTCAACTATTATTTACAGTTTCTCTACAATATTTTAATAGATTTTTAATTTTTTGCTCAAAGAATTCCTTTGTTTGGTGCAAACCAATCTGTGAGTTAGTTTTGCAGTTCCCTAATTTTTTTTTGAAGAAGGCGATGGATGATCCACCATTCATCCAGATTATCCAAAAATACGAGTCTTATCTTTAGGAATTTAAAAGTTATGCGCATGTAAAGTTGAGTGTTTTTAGCGTTTTCATAAAGTTACGACCTGCATTTCTGCGTATTCTACGTGATTACGTGACTCTACGTGCGGATTCTTCTGCGTGACGAAGATTATTAAATGACAAATAAAAAAGGTAATAATTTTATGTCTTTAAACTGAAGTTCGGTCAAACTTTCATATAATGTTTTATATTTGTCATAAAAGAAGGAAACAAAAGCTGTCGAATATAGCAAATAAGCAATGTTATGGTTTATGTGCATTCAATAGGGAATGTAAACTGCAAGAACTTATGGACCAAGATAATATTCGTTTTTCTGTTTTAACACCGAATTAGATAAAATTATGTATTTTATTCAATTAACAGATTTGGTGAATGGACAAGAAAATTAAGCATGCCTAAAACCGCTTTTTTGATAGTAGACGTTCAAAATGATTTTATCGATGGGACTTTGTCTCTTCGTACTTGCGAAGCCAAACAGGATGGAGCTGATGTGGTGGAGCCAATTAATAATTTGTTGAAAAATGGATCCTTCAATAAAATTATTTACTCGTTAGATTGGCATCCGGAAAATCATATCAGCTTTTACGAAAACTTACATTTACGGGAATTATGTCCTAATTCAAAGGTATAAAGTTGGAATTTATCATTTTATTGCAACAACATTGTATCATAATATTAATAATTAGACTGTGAATTTTTGTGCAAAATATATAAAATATCTAAATTATAATACTTATTATAACATATAATACATATGTAAAATAATTTTATAATATAGGTAGTATATATAGATAGTAGATAATAGTATAATATATATTACAATGCTATCGTGTTGCGATCTGTGAAAAGAGGTTCTTCCAGGAAAAGGTTATCCTTATTCATACAATTGTGTTATTGTGTTTCGTTCGAATCATATTTCACGTATTTGTGTATTTTACATACTATATTTACTATTTTGCTATAAAAAATCGAAGTTTTCTATATTTCTTTTGCATGAACTCTATTCTCATTAAAATGTTAAAAATTTTTAATTTAAAAGAAATTTTCACATGCTAAAAAATGAAAACGTTTTTAATTATGCATAGATGAAAAGAGAAGATGCTAAGTTATTTGATACAGTCATATTTGCGGATCCTTATCTGGAACAGATTCTTTGGCCTAAACATTGTGTGATGAACACATGGGGAGCAGAATTACACAAAGATCTTGTGATTGCACCAGGTTCCATACAGGTATATGTATATCTTCGTTCTTCCATTATAGTAAAATATCCTAATTTAAAATTTATTATAAAATGAAAATAAACTATTAACATTTTAATTATATTTGTTTTTTTAGATACGTAAGGGTCAAAACCCGGATATGGAAGCTTATTCCGTATTTTTCGATAATAATTTTAAGGGATCAATGGAATTGCACGCAATGTTAAAAAAAGAGGGCGTGGATTATGTTTTCGTATGTGGTCTCGCTTACGACATTTGTGTAAAAGCCACATGTTTAGACGGTCTTCGGTTAGGCTATGCGATAGCTGTAGTCGACGACTGTTGTTGTGGTGTTGCAGAATCTAATACTGAAGAGACTAAAAAATTAATTCTTGAGAATGGTGGTCTGATTACTAACAGTGACGACGTTATTGCAATGACAAATGAAGGAAAAAAAAGCCTCGTCTTGGCCCACAAAATTGCAAAGTCTATGACATTAATTGAAAATTCTGCAGAACTGGAAAGATAATAATTTATAATTGACTGAGAAAAGCACGGGCTGTTTCGGAAACAAGGTTTGTACTTAATATGAAAATGATTTGGAATTTATTTTTAATTTTCTTGTTTCAACAATAAAATATTTCTTTTTCAGGAAATGTTGTTTCATACGAGCTTGATTAATCATTCCTAATTTATTGTACTTACATAATTTGCATTATTTATAATATTAGTTGAACTTAATGTACTAATGTACAAAGAGAAATACGGTGGATGGTTATAAAAATGTATGTACTTAAGATATGCGTTACGTCCGGTGACTTTATACAAACCAGAATCCGTCCCTCGGTCGAAGCGGCCACTGGCTGTGCACATATAATTAATTGTTATAAAATATATTCAAGTCGAGACGGTTATTGTTCTTCTTTGACTTCTATGGTTATTTATTTTGGTTTTTATGGTTATTGTTTCATCATGTAAAAAATGGGAATGACGGGTTTTCCCATGTTCAACGATCATTTCCACCGTAAGCGAACGGTGGTGGGGCAATCAACATCCAGCAATAGTTTTCCTCTGTGACAGCATCGTCACCGAACTTCATTGGTTTATCTGCTTTAGATTAGTCAACATCTCTTGACTGGTTTTTCATCTGTTGGTCAGTCAATGTCTTGACTGGTTTTTGTTCGATGATCAGTCATCAATTGTAACTTACTATTTACACGTCTCTGAGAATACGTCTGTACGCACGTCGCATAATTATTTATATCTACAAAGTTGTTGGAATAAAGTATATATTATAATCTGTTACTTCAGTGTTATAATCAGTTAACCACTTCTATTATCCTAAACAAAAAAAGGGGATCGACCAACTCGCGGCGTCGAATCGAATCGTAACGAAAATTTATGACTCTTGTTTCTTCGCGATCGTGTCTCTCCGCGAACAGTCGAACAATATATATTTAAGAAATTTAACATACTTAACGTGAAAAAGGTGTTTCAGTTATACCAAATAGAAGCATATAGTAAGTATTTTTTAACTATATTAAATATGTACATATATCTTAAGCCTTTAGAATTAAATAGATGTACATAGAATAAATAAAACTAGTTACACGTTACTACATATCAGTCTATACTTAATGCTATTCGTTCATTAACATCCTTGCAGTTTTCTCAATTTTGTTTGCTGATTCGTCGTCTTTTGATAATTTGCAAGCGTATCTGTGTCTAGCGCCGCAATCATCACTTTGATAAGAGTATAATCTGGACGTTGTATTGTAAGACAATTTTAAACACCTAAATATACAATCACAGAATTACAAATATTTGAAAGTATCAAATATATATTAAAACTACGATAAGTGCGATTAATCATTAATATTAATTAACAGAACTAATTAACAAACAAATTTACCTGCCATCACCAGGGACAGTTTGTTTAGTATTTTGGTAAACTGGTTTTGCACTACTAGCCCAAATCCAAAGAAGACCTGGATTCAATCCCCCTGTCCAAAAGGTTTTGCCTTTTAATTTAGAATTTGTTTGCAAGCCTGCTAACACATCGCGCTTTTCGTCTTCCGTGTCGAATTCCAATAAATGGCCGCCCATTCCTCGGCAGAGACTAGCTGATGACTTCCAGTCAAAATCACGATTACTAAAGTGATAGCAGTTTTGACCAATTTTGGTATAATTAGTAGGGCAGGGCTCTGAAGAGGATAATGAATTTATAATGAAGAGATAGAGTGAAGAAAACCTGAGCTCTTTTACACAATTGAACTAATATTATTAGCGAAATTCTACAACTTACAAGTTACCAGTATTGATAAATATCGTTGCATAATATTAACAAGTTTAATAGTAAGACAAGTGTTACAAGTAAATTGTACAAAATTACAAATTACTGAATTATTCTACTTTATGATAAATTATTAAAGAAAAAATCTATAATTTGCAGCTGGTAATTTGTAATATTAATTAATATTATTATAAATTATTGTGCAAAAACACTGTAATTTACCTTTTTTATTGATGTTTCCGGAAATCACATAATACAGGAGTTCTTCCGCTCTTCTGAGACGACTTTCTAGAAAATCCACTCTATAGACGAGCTTCTCTATCGCACCTAGATATAACGGAGAATAATTTATATAATTTTTGAACGGATGGATAATAATTACATTAATACTAAAATTTTACCGAGTAGATAGAGGTCGGTTTCAGAGACTTCTCGTTTATTTGGCGTCGATATTTTACTCGTTATAGTTAAGCTCTTATCTCCTAGTTTCATCACCTTCGACATCCTCGTTAATTTCGAATCAGAAACAATCCAATTTTCTAGAATCTCGCTCCACAGTTCTGGTGGTCTGATTATCGAAACATTAGATGAATTTAGAGCAGATATCGAGTACATATCGCCTAAAAATACACGAATAATTTTGTTAGGACATTTTTTCATTTATATAAATGATTTAGTTCTTTTCACATACCTGGAATTTCTATACCGAGGCATAGTTGTAAAATCATGAGAAGAAATAGACTAAGAGACATTTTATGCTTCATGATAAACCTGAAAGTAGGGAACGAATTAAGAAAAATACGGATACGGAAATACGGATTGACGTTTTTATTTCGACTGTGAAGGCTATCTTTAACTTTCCTTAAGAAAGTTTAAGTAGCCGGGACGATTGACTGCGTCATGCAAATCGTTTCTTGCTTAACGTATTTTAATTAATTTTTAATCGCTCACAATTAAATAGAAAATCGTATTTATATATTCTATAAATATTATATATAAATTATGACGGTGTGAACGATTATTTTCTTAAGTGAATTATTTATTAATAGCTTGCGGATATTTACTCAATTTTATATTTTTATCAGCATAATTAAAGAAATAGAGACGAAATAAATATATTTAATATTAATACTAATATTAAATTATACATTTAACATTATACTAAGTATTTTTCGTATTGGATATTTTATTTATTTTTATATATCATATTCATTGTGTAGATTTTTCATCTCTAAGTAATTTCCTAAAAGTGCGTAAACATCCGCAGTTTAATCATTAACTACTAGAATTGTCAATTTTTAATGTATACTTACATCTGCTATACGTATATATAAAAGATATATTAAAAAATAATATATTATATGCACTAGAAAAAATGTAAGTAAAGAAAATTCACTTACGTAATATCTATAAAATGAAAACGACCTCTTAGTTATTATCATGCCACTCTTGTTTTCTCCTAAATGCTGTTCACCTGTTCGATCCGTTTCTGTTCAGAAGTCACGTAAAACTATCGAGAGCTGAGGCTCGTGCACTCTTCTGCGGGGCACTTTCTCTCTCCTCTTCGGAAGAATGAGTCACTTTCTTCGTTTGATTTGGCTGTGTCCTCGTATTTTTGCGATTACTTCTTCCACAAATTTTCCTTCTTCTTATTCATTTGCTTCTTATTTCAATCAAGTTGTAATTATCTACTAATTATCTCAATCGAATTTCGTCTTGTAGGTAAAAGTTAACTAGCTTTTTTGTAAACCGTATCGAATTTTGTAATCGTTAGAAATACCTATAGCTGATAAGGAATTATACAATGAAAAATGAAACGAAAATATTCGAGAACTTTGAAAAACTGCTACATAATGTAGTTTTAAAAAATTATTAGATGTTAAATATAAAATGAGAATTTTCAAGTATGTTTTGAAATTTTTTTGTTGCTTTTTACATACTTTTTAGGCAGAATCGCGAGGAACGCGGGATTTCTTCCAGATCGTCCTACTGACACGGTTTTTCGCGTGAAACGGAACTTTGTCCTTTTCTTAACTTGGCCTCCGTTATTCGAACGTCTTTCACAGAGAAAAATTTTTCTCTGCTAAGTTTAATTTATTTAGAAAATTTTCTGTATTTCTTTTGGTCGGATTAAATGTAAATTAAAGGTATTAGCATCGTTAGAACATTAGAAAACCTGTTAACGTTTGCATTTCTTTAATAAAATAACTATAAGTAAAGAACGTACTTGCATTATCGTTTAATGCAACTCGTCTGTAACTATATAGTATAATTCTCTATACATTTTGTATGTACATTCTATTTGAATCGATTCAGTATCTGGCAATTATATAGCGCATTTTAATAGTGTCTATTTATAAAGGAATTATTTATCGAAGTGGTCTATTGGTAATTTTTTCGTTTGACAGACGATGGAGTCATTGAAACCATTTTATTTCTCAGTCTTTCATTTTTCGCGTGATTTAAAAGTACACGGTGAGATTAAGTCGTTCGTTTCCGACCTGACTGTTTCTGGACATTGTTTCTGCTGCCACTTCTACGCTATCCACTGTCTAAAAAATAGAGAGAAAATATTATTACACGTAATAATTTCGTACTTAGAGAAATTTAGTTATTTTTTGTTATCTTCTTCTTATGTTCTAGCATCTACTGATATTTTTATTTGTAACAAATCAGACTAATTGTGTTCTACGTAAAATGTATTCATTGAAATATCTAAATATTTATTATAATAAAAGATACGATACCCTATCGTCATCGTCCCACGATAATTTTTTAACTCTCTGTGAAACGGAGCAAGCTGGCCACGCAGGTACCAAAGAATCTGGGAGATCTCCGGAATAATTGGAAGATTTGCAAGAGTCAGCATTTAGATTAGTTTTTAAGCTTAAGTCGTTCATGTTCTGAACTAAACCGCCGATATTGGGGATGTTGGAGGTTGCTGATAAACCTGGAGGATTTGGAGCTGGGGCCACCTTATGTCTTGCGTAAAGAGGCAGTTGTCTAGCCGATGTTACACCTAATTTACGTAAATAAATAATTATTGTATGAGAATAGAAATTTATAAGAATTTTAAAATGAAGCGAATTTAAAATAGGCGCGCCGCTAATTAAAAAGTTAATAGGCTAATATATTCTTTTTTAATTATAAATTTTAATAGTATTCCGAGTAATTCTTAATTCATTGCTTCGAATTACTTTTAATAGTGGCATTGTAGTTCCTCGCTGCAAAAACCGGATTCTCGACGTCATTGTTATCATTCTTGACTTCACGAGATTCACTATTGTTACTGTCGTCTACAATCTCTTGATCAACATGATCATCTTCCTCTAGGTCGTCTCCAGTCTCAGCCTCTTCCTCGTTTTCATCGATATTGCGCGCGTTCTCGATTCGATTTCCTCTTCGAGGTACTTCCAAGGCATCTTGAAGCATATTTGCCCCGAGTACTTGAGGAGTCGGGTTCAGAGCAGAGGGAACTGGTGATTTTTCTCTGTAGCCAGTTCCTACTGAACTTACTGAACCACTGGCTTTTGGCCTTTTACTGCAACACGTTGTAAGGAAGTTAAAAATTTAGAATCACGCGTATCGTTAGTTTAAGAATACTGTTCGTTGATATACACAACTTCTTTTATATATAAAAATGTAGAAATAATGATCAGTTTACAGCTTTCTTCTTTAATTTGAGTGTCTATAGGTTGACGTGGAAAATAATTCTTAATAGCCGAAGAGAATATTTAATAAACATTTTAGAGAATGCCCTATGAGAACGTCCTGTTATGGTCGGGGAAAATATTAAAGGAAAGAAATAAGATAATCTTTCAAGTAATCAGCTTTACTTACTTTTTATATATGTACAAAATTAAAACAAGTATTATAACACCAAGTAGACCCAAGACAGCGCCAAAAACAGCAACCAGGAGAACACTGCTGCCCAACCAAGCAGGTGCAGCTCTTGCAGCAATTGGCAACGAGCCACTATTTGGTATATGCACGATCACTGGGATCATACT